TTGGAAATCGTGTAGGTCTATCATATGTTTAAGTATTAAACGTAGACCTACCCTTTACCCTTTACACATAAAAGACCATACGTCTCGAATTGTGAACCTTCTCCTTATATGTATTTTCTAAAATCAGTTAAAAGTGGATTTGATGCCCAAATATGTAAAATAAAATTTAAAACTAAAGTGAAAACGCTTATAATATACGTTTAAATTATCAAGATGCTCTCTCATAAGAGAAATACTAAGTTAATGGGAATTTATATTGTTAATAAATAAAATGATTTACAAATCGTTTTATTCCGAAAACTTCGTATGAATTTCAGTGTATACGAAAAATCCTTCAAAGCAGCATTTTATTTTAATTATCAAAGTATAAAATCTTTGTGCAATAGTGGTTTAATATTAAACATTTTCAGGTATCCGCCGCTCCGCATACAATATTAAGAAGGAACTAGAAATGTGAACAATTTCCTCTTTTAAACAAGGAAATCACATTATATCAATATCTGTTTATTTGTATCTGGCAACAAAAACTAAATAAGTAGATATATATTCTCCTATTCCTATATTTTCATAGGACAGGCCTCGCGAGTCCCGCCGATCCGAGGTCTTTTAATAGCGCGTTATTACAATCGGCCTTAGCGTTTATTTTGCGATAAAGCATAAGAAGCGCGCTCAAATTGTAAAAATATCATTGAAAAAATAAACTTATTTAATAAAGATTAATTCTCCTTAGTACCAAATCAGGGAGCGTTCAAGTATTACGTAACGCAATTATTGGAGATTATTGACCCCCCCATGTATCTCGCCGTAACGTTTTTTAGTACCCTAGTACGGTACTGTACTCTAGTATAGTAAAACGTTTCGGGACCACTTAGTGTCTCTTTAGTTACTATTATGTGGTGTAAGTCGAAAATAATAATAACAATAACGCGTAATTCAATCCCCGCCCCGCATCGTAACGTTTTACAAAAAGGACCCCCCTCCCAAAACGCGTTACGTAATACTTGAATGCTCCCTCAGCTAATTATAATGCTAATGTCTTGTCCGCCTTCTTTTAATATTTCAACGAAATTCCTTATGGGGCTAGACGGAAAAAATTAAGACCAAAAGTTGTAACGACACTTTTTTGCTATTTGCTATATATTATTAATACACCGGTTCTCGTCCGATCACCGAAGTTAAGCAACGTCGGGCGTAGAACTTGGATGGGAACACCTCGTGATGTTGGCTTTTTTTCGTAGGGATAAGATATGAAAATGATTTTTGGAATCACGTAACTGAATTAGTCGTAGTAAACGTACACCAGAATCCCTGTACAATAATAATTGCGGGGTCCATAGTTTCCTTAAAAAATACAATACCTTTAAAAATATTTGTTATAATAAATAAAAAAAATATGTTTCAGGAAAATGTCATGAAATTCTGCGAATTCAAAAATTTGTGAACTAATATCACAACGAGAATAGCTTATACAAGGAGATGAACCAGATGAGACTCAATTAAAACATCTTAACCACGAAATACGAAATATGCTTATTAATTGTGCCACTTAATTTACATTTAGGTTATTTTACAATTTAATCGCTGCGTAGCACGACATCATACTTCTTCCTCTTTTAGATTCCTGGTCTCTTAAAACTTTAATAGACGATGAAATATAAGATTGGTGTCGAGAAAATCTATCATACTGTTATGATACCAATGAACATATAAATTAATCGAAAGGAACTTCGTTCAATCCGGGTGTCCCTTGACACCTCTCAAGTTTTTTTTTATTGATATCATTCACGTCACGGTGGCGCCGTTCACTATGGAAGTACAAATTCAGTGGGGCAGAGTGCATGTCACGTTATTTGTTACAATTCATTAATCAAGCAATTGTTTTTTATGTAATAGAAAAGTTTTTAGCGGAATCACCAAATCCACCTTTTCTGAGTGTAAATGTGGAATCGTTTGCTTGTGGTTTAATACGTGTTTGTGTGAACACTATAATGTAATGTAAGCACCTGCTTCTATTTCACCATGCCTGCTTCATAAGAGTAGATTAGTTTCTTGCCAGGTTTCTTGCGTTTGATGACTGATAGTAAATGCGATTTCAGAACCAAGCATTGTTTTATTATTGGCCATCATAATTGTTCGTAAGTAACGTAAGTAGCAATGCACAGCGATTAACTGAGTAAAAATGTCCTCTGCCGCGTCGTTCTAATAGCGACAAACTCTAAAACAACAAGAGTTTTCATGCTGTTTAACTAAAAGATAGATTTTCCTCCTGAATAATTTATTAGTTTAGTAGCGGATCCGACAGACGCGCTCCTGAACACACATCTTACATTAAAAAAAAATTGATAACGAAATAATTTTCGACTCCACTTGAAAATATATTTCTATATATACCAGCTGTTTATTTGCTGTATTGATAAATAACCTAGATACCGACATCAACGTCATCTGCCGGACTGATTTGTGTATTTAAAGCACCCAGGGCGCAACGGATAGTTTACATCTCAATTTATACCCGCAATATTATTTTATTGCAAAATATTTGTTTATTATTTGATAGTCACAATTCTAACAGATGGCGCTGTGTTGAAAGTACCAACGTTTCACATAAGCTACAATTTAATGGCATAACCACCAAAAAAGCATGATGGTCCCCATGAAAGGTGTTCTCCTACCGTTTCCCTTGAATAGTTTACTACTATGTAATATAACTAAAACCTTAGCCACAGCAACGCTTGGCCGGTCGCTAGTAAGTTATAAAATACAAAATTCAGCAACCCCAATGGATCTAAAGATAGCAGACATTACTGCAGTCACCACTCGGAGGATAAATAAAACCAAACATAAGGAGATAAAATACGTTTATTTCATAAATTTGTCAATAAATCGGTAGCGGTTCGAACCGCGACACTTTATAAAAGTCGACGCTTATTCAAGGCGAGTTCGAAAAGCTCCCTTTTCAACACTCGGCGGTTTGATTAATCGTCGACTCTTAAGCTACTAACTTTATCGACGCGATTTTGGTTACGTAGCATTTTAAATGCCGATCTAATAATATGTCAATGTTGCATACCGTTCCGTGACAGAAAGCTCGCGCAAAAATAATACAGCGTTAAAGCAATTTTAGCAGAAAGTAACGTTACACAACCGCCACGAAAGTGGATTTAATTCGCAAAACTAAAAACTATATCTCGGCCGTTCGCCGGCGTTCATCCCGTCTTTCAGTCGAACAGTATGCAAGTAGCGGTTGTCCGGACCCAAACATAACTATAATACATTATCATTCACTCCGTTCGAATGAATATTTCCATTCGTTCATTTACACCGTTCAGTGAGGTTATCGTTCCCACAATTGCGTTCGACGAGCGGCGATTCACATAAAGACAACACTAGTTTCCGACGGTCCGTGAGTATTAAACCGTATCGCATTCCGCAAAGTACCGTCAGCAAAATCAACGGATTACCGGCTACTGTCGAGTAATTGCGCTTGGATTACCTCAAATTTAGATTAAACAGTGTAGAGTTGGTTAAATTTGAAATGCGTAGCACCGAAACGTTTTTGCCGACGGTACCTCGATTAACGTCGGATTAGAACGATCGCCAAATGCAGCCACGGGGACAATAGCGGCAATGAACCACACCTAGTCTAAATCACTGAACCTATCTCATAGTACACGCACACAATCAAAACACGAGCCCACGCACACTCCGGTCCAGCCGTCACACGCGGCACATCAGAAACGGCTTTGCCGGTTTCCATGCAACTCTTCGCCATATTCGATATATTGGGAGCGACAAATCTTTCATTATAAAGCCTCTCACTAGATTATACAATATATTTAAATGCTAAACTACGTGCTTTCCGTGTTTTATATTTTACACTAACGACTAATATAGTGCTAAGATTAACCGTATATAATTTTATACAATTGTATAATGAGGGTAGGAAACGAAAAGACACCTTTTCTTACATTTTTATTTCCTCCCGCCAATGTTACACCGAAACCGTTATATAATATTAAACGTAAGTATAACCGTCCGTTAATAGTGTCCGAGTAACCGTCGAAATGTAAAACTCGGTGCCGACAGACAAGGATAGAATGAGTATTGTTGTCTCTGTCTCTTAGTCAAAAATTCCTGTCGAAACGAAATTTAAGGCCGCTCTAATAAATAAGGTTAAATCACGCCTCGAAATTAAATTTATTCTAATTAATTTCATGAAATACAAATACGGACTTCGCTCGCGTCAACTTCAATATATTTATTTAAATAGTCAACGGTATACGCAGATATATAAAGGAACATCTAAATATATTTCACTAATATACGAACCAGAAATATTTTCAAAAACTTGTACTTCCATTGAAATTCGTATATTTCTTCCGACCGGATTAACGAGCGGTCGATTCACATTTAACCGACAATGTTCTACGAATACCACACATTTCTTTTATATAGAGATTCCACATATTCCGGTCGATCGCAATTCAAGTCGGAATACCGCCCGGTCGATACGAAAGCGTTTCCATCGTTCTCTATACTAAAACTTATAAAAATCTGCATTGCACTTATGTTAAGTCTGTGGGACGGCGGCTCCTCACCGACCGTACGCGTCACGTATACATATAATGTACAGGTTTCAAATAAAAATAATGCATTACGATGCGAAAACCGCACACGAGACGACACTGTATTCTTAACACGTTAAACTTCAAACTGTAGTCTATTATTGCTGACTCCACTCGCGGGCGACGTCTCGCTCGCTCAGGCGCCGCTGTCACTCCCCGAAACGGTCAAATTTTAAAACAGATAGAAAACAAAAATTCACTCGACCGTACTCATTTATTGTCCGAGGACAGGTCTGTTTGGGGCCGCGTGACGCGAGGCGTGAGCGAGCGGGACGAGTTTCGATTGGTCGAGCGCGCCGTGACGTCACCGCGGGCGGCCCTCGTCGGCGGGGAGCGTGGCGCGCGCTCGTGTCACGTGGCCGTGCTCGCGGGACGTCAATACGCGCGCCGGTCGTCCATGTCCGACACCTGGAATTGTTGGAGACGTATCGTAATTTTTATATCACTCGTGTTAAACCAATCGTGGATGGACCTCAAGATAATAATTTCAAATAAAGCTTTTAAGGTATAGGGTCATGTGCCATTGTTACTTAAGATATAAAGGCCGGTGTAAAAGGCTGCCCCAGTGGCAGTCAGCCGGACTTAGCCTTGGGAAACTCCAGCATTACCGGAAATTTTGAGAGAAACGCCTTGTACCAAACACAATCGAAGGCTTTTGCTTTGTCCAAACTATAGTTGGAGTGATGGTTAATTCGACACAGAAATGTCCACCCTACACTAGGTAAAGTTAAATCCTGTTACTAACATGTCGGTGCTTGTTCCGTTTGTGCGGTGGCTCCTCCGTGGTCTCCTCGATGACGAGCTCTCCGCCTAACGCCCCGCACCCTTCTTCGCCGCCGTAGCCCCTATAAACATTGATTATTACTAGACTTTATATAAACTATGATCTAATCTATATGGAATTTCTTAAGTAGTGGAAAAAAATAGGAATATTTACTGAAAAAAGAAATGGTATTTTATATTGTGTCAACTAATCTATTGATAAAATTTACTAGAAAATATTTATAAATAAGGTAAAAAAATGGGTCAGAAACAAACCCGTAGTATGGAGAATGCTGATGCAGCAGCGTAGCTTGCACCTCTTCTTCGGGGATCGACACCAGATTGCCTCCGGTCGTACCGACGACGTACTTTTCTGAAAACATTAAATTCCCTCTTAGAAACTCTAATCACTTACAAAAACGCTAAGAGCTAAAACTAAAATAATATTTAATTCAAATTCTTGATAAATCTCTAATCCGTTATTTTTTTCCTTAACTACCTGATTTTTTAACTGGGAAGCTTTACTATTTAAGATATGATATTATTATTTTCATTTATTAAAATATATTATTATTAACGAGAGTATTTTATTAATTTTGACAATAACATTATTTATTTTCTACCTTTAAGCGTAAACTAATTCGATAGAAAATAAAATATCGACCTAAACCTTATCATAACAAACAATGGACATTGCAACTCTTGTGAATTCGGTTCAAACATCAAGACGTGTGCAACGCACGCGCACGCGGCACAGCCACCAATGGCTAGTGTTTCCCATGCCTAGTGCGGTGATAACGGTACTGGAGCCCTAACCTTTCTAAGACGCCTGCATTTTGTACCATACCACCCATCCCTCCTCATCCACAACTGAGTGTATCCAATCGAACATTTTTTTTATTTTTTAGAAAAAAATATTGAAATGCATGTGACGGTGGAACAATAGTTCACAATTTCTCCGTCCACCGAAGCGTCGACGTTTAATACAATACTATAAAAATATTTTTAAACAAAATTAACTAATTGACCTTAATTACTGATTTCTTTAAGGTAAATAAAAAAAGTAAGTAGAATGGGTAAATTACATGCAGATATATCAAGTGAACATATTCTGTAATAACTCCACCATTACTATTTAATACTCAAGTACTTCTTTTCATGCGGGGTCCAAATCAAAACCCAAATTCCTGTACGCTAAATGAAGTTCATCGAAATATAAAATGTTGGAAATACGCATCTTTTGACATGAGTAAAACAAACCTTCCCGTTCCCCTCCGGCGCCGTTGGTGACGACGGTGATGTGATGCCCCGCCATCACCAGCCCACTGCCGCCGCTGAACGAGGATCCTCCCGCGCCTGGAAATCATTTACGTTCACTTTATTATAACGCGCCTTATTGTTTAGAGAATTACACTTAATGTAATAAATTGAAAATTATAAAAGCGACTGTTTTAATAAAAGCCAAAAATGTATTCCAAATTTATACATTAACTATTACTATAAGTATAAGAATAGGATTTATCTAATACCATATTAAGTCTCAAAACATTGAACGCCCTGTATGGTCTTCGAAAAGATTAGTAAAACTCGTTATGAAGCCTTATATTACATAGCTGAATATTTTTATAGGTTAATCACAGAAATGCTTTTAAAACGTACTTATATGCTTTTCTACAAATAAATACTTTTGCAAGTATATTTTTTATATTAAAAGAGAGATAAAAAACCAGTGACGCTAAAACTTTAAAAGGTCTGACCAAAGACATGTATCATTTCTTTAATAGGCAAGTAGATTATCAACCTTCTGTGCATTACACACCCCTACGATTTTTGTGTCTAAAGCATGTTTCCTCTCGACATTTTCCTTCACAGTCCAAGGAGCCAGGGAACGAACTCCGGCTCAAATGTATGATAACTCATAATAATTTACCAGGTGATCCCGGCGCGCTCTGGCTGACGCCGGAGCGTTGCGGGAACAAGTACTGAGTGGAGTGGCTGTTGTTGTTGTTGCTGCTCAGCCGCTGCTGGCCCTGAGACAATTTGAAACTGGCTTGATCATGCAAATTGATAACAATTAAAACCACTAATATTTTATTCCAAAGTGAAGCGAGATATATGTTTAAACTTTAACTTTTTCTCGACTATATTTACCTGATGATCATTCTCATCCCCGGTGAAGAGGTCAGGCGTGGGTTCGCGGGAGAGCTCCTCGGGAGTCACCAGGCCAGACACGCCCACCTGAGACGGAGACGTTGGAGCACTCCTGGAATTGTTATACATTATACTATTAAGTAACCATTATCATAGGCCCATGTTAAAACACTTCAGATGTTAATGTATGATTACCATTTCTATAAAAAATAAAAAATAATCCAGATTCATTGCTACGACATGAGTCTTGGCCTCGGATTGGATCTATTTCTTTGATGTAATATTTCTTTACTTTTCTTCAAAGATACATGATACTAAAAAACGAAATGAATAGATTTATAATAATATAGTAAAGCTACGTAAGTATGTAACGAAGTGAGTCGAAGTTCCTCTTACTAAAGTCTAAGTCAGGGTTTAATACAAAAAACTATTTAGAACACAGACATATATTTGTGCTGGATTCCAAATTCTCCGTTAGAAAATGGTTGCCAAAATCTACTACTCAAAACAAATACGCCTGGTGGTGATAAAAATATACACCAGTCTAATTGCACCGTTTCAACTTTTTGGCACAAATAAAAATACTCAAAGAGCGTATCTCATTAAAACCAAACTTTCACTTTAAAACGCGGTCACTTTAATCACGGTAGAACTTACCCGACGTATCTCAACCTTATATATAACCTCCAAATGCGAAACCTCAAACACGTTGTCTCGGGATTGTGCTCGACTCATAAAAATGAAGAAAGGAAATTATTTTTCGAGATGACATATTGACACCCGAGCTGTAACGCAAGTTCGGCTCTGTACATCGAGAGCACGCATAGCAAAGGTATTTGCTACCGCAGCTAATAAATGGTCTACTTGGTCAGTTATTTGACAGCCTAACGTTAACCAACATAAAAAAAAGTTGAAAAACTATGTTTATATGCATTTGTTGCAACTGCTGCTATAGTTACATATTATGATTTTATTATATTATTCTGTAAAAATAAATAAATAAAAAAAACTAAAGTCACTTTTTATCACAGCATATTATATTTCACAATGCGTCAGAGGAATACGAAAGAAAACTTGATACGGTAGAAATATCAAACACAATTAAGAATGAAAGTTTGACTGATTTGAGATGAAAATTTATAATATAATCTCATTAACAACAAAAAGAGAGTGCAATTAAAATGATTTACTTTTCATCTAACTTCATATGTTAAACCTAAATGTAAAAATGTCAGCCGCAACTCACAGGTTAATCTTCAACACAGCGACTTGATTTCAAATATTTTTCATTAAAATTCTATTGAATCTATAGAGAAAAGGCAAATATTAATTTGATTGTATCGACGAAGCAATGTACTAAATGAGTGCGGACATTTTTGCGCAATGACGTCACTCCGCCGTGACTCAGTGTTTGTATTGAATTAAAATCTGATGACTTGTCAATAAGGAGCCTCTCAAGGTCGCCCAAATATAATTCACTAAAGCAAAAATCATTTCAAAGTTTGGAAATTTGTAACCCTTGTAAAACAAAATCGGTTTTGTAGTTATTTTGTTTTAATATATAAACAGGGAGCAATAGGGCAACAGTTAAGTGGCCTGATGTTAAGTGATATCGCGGCCCATAGACACTTACATTACCAAAGGACTCGCAAGTGCGTTGCCGGCCTTATTTTATTAGTATTAATCTAGAAATACCAGCTCAGCGACATACGTTCCTCGGTTTGAATTTACAATAGTAACTTAAGAAACAAGTTTGTGACTTCTGTCAAAAATATACTATTTAAAAAATCCTTTAAGGTCAATTTGATTCACATTTTAAATGTCTAGACAAATTTTGGTTCACCTTCCATCCCTATCACTTTCTATAAGTTAAAGCTAAACCAAAAAAAGTCCTGTAAATAGTTAACCAACAAAAAAATCTATTCTACCGGGCCTGCATCTTCAAACTGGCCTAGCAACTACCAAATAGCATAAGATGTCTCACCGTGAGGAGAGACCAAATGGCGCTCGGAACTGAACACCTCTCGGACGACGGGGACGGAAGGCCAGCTCTATGAGTTTGCCTTCGCTCTGAGGGTCGATGCGCCAGAAGCTGCCTTTGCCCGGCTCTTCTTGGCTGCGCGGCACTTTTATGAAGTATCTGGAAACACGGTTGGTGTATTATTTGGAGATAAATCTGTCTATTTAGTAGAAATGATTTAACATTAAATGTTTATGATACCATTCTTATGAATAGAGGTGACGTGTTCAAGACATCAGATGTAATCTTGGAAAGTCCTAGATACACAGAGAAGCATATACATGTGCCTATGATCACTTAGTGTTTGAAATACATATTTTTTATTTCATAAATATTGATGAAATAAACAATCTATAATATTTTAACTCGGCCGATCGACTCATTTGATACTTTTATGTTTCGCTCGGGTTATGCTAGACGCATTTTTATTTTGGGCAAATGTGTGCCTTTCATGTTAAGTATATATCAAAGGGCTTATTTAAAGATAAAAATTTAACAACGGCCACAGGACCGTTGTTTGTGGTACACTTAGTAAATAACAAAAATATCCTTATACAATAAGCCATACCTGTTGAGCGAAAGATTGTGCCGAATAGAGTTCTGCCATCCCTTATCAGCCGTGCGATAATACGGATAATGCTTGGTGATATAGCTATAGATCCCGCTGAGCGTCAACTGCTTGTCCGCAGCTGAGGCCACAGCTTGGACGATGAGCTGCGCGTAGCTGTACGGAGGTTTCGCCGCGTCTTCCCCTCCGCGCTCCCCCCTCTCGCGTTCGCGGACGTCGCGACTTTCGCGTCCGCTGTATTCGGACGTTGATGAAGCCTGTAAGTTTTTTTATTTATATTAATTATTTATATAATAATTGTAAGGGTGGTGGAAAGTAATTCACCCAATCAATAAATTAATAATATTTTGTCAAGTTCATTTGTTATTACAATTATATGAAGAATAAAATAATCAATTGCTTTTAAGATTTTTGAAGGTCTATTAGGATCAATAAATTTAATTATGACATCTCAGCTGTATATGTATATACTTCTGTAGTATATGATAACCAACCGAATTTCCATTAGAGGTGGGTCTCTGATGTTCAGCAAGCACGGCATACTGCGCAACCAGGCCGAGGTCGGCGTGACGGCGACCCGAGGAACCGGCACCTCGCGGAGATGTCGGACAACTGTTTGTCGCACTTATCGTGCCTGGAATACGGAGTAAAGACTTAAGATGGTTGACCAGAGCGTCGTTGGCATCAGGTTTTTTATTAACTTCTTTGTCGCCTAAATATTTTATACGTTACTTTATTAATGCTTTATTTTTGTAAATAAATAGATCATTGCATTACCTTTCTATTGAGTGAATTTCCCCTTGAATCAAATATCAAAATTTCAGATAGAACAGACAGCCAGTACAAAGTATATTACATACAAGTTTACCCAATATTAATTTTAAAAGAATTGTTCTGGTCTAAACTCAGCCGCCAGACGAGTACGTAGTACGTAGAGTACCCTTCATTTCGCTAGTCTAAGAACAGTTATTATTGTATAATATATAGCTAAACCAAGATTAACTTTTTTACTATAACATTTAAACCATATTCCATAAATTATTGTATGGGCTAGTTTCCTTTAGATAACTTTGTATAATTTAAAGTCTTCTACTTACCGATTCGGTAAAATAATATGCAACACGAAAACAAGCACGTTCTCGTTATTAGTTTTTTTTCTCACCTGTAGGAGAAGGTGCAGGGCTCCGTCCATCACTGTCCATAGGTATGGTGATGCGAAGGGGAGGGAGAGGCGGTGCAGTGCTGCCCCCGGCACCACTTTCCTCCACCAGCGATTGGAATTCCAGGCGTATGTTTGTGGACGGGAAGCGGAGCGTGCATCTGGAACGTTAAAACATTAATTTTAGCATGAAAGATACACCCGAATACTTAAATACTTAAATATTACTAATCCTGTTAATACATATAGTGATAAGTTTACTAGAATAGAACATACGCCTAATGTTAATACTCGGAACAAACGAAGGCTGCAATTTCTCCGTACTAGACTATCTAAAGTTAGTAATATTTTTTTGGAAATAGGGCTACTTTTCTTTTATAAAATCCCAGAGGCTCTTTTATCTCTGCCTTTTAATAAATTTAAAAAATGTATTAAAGAAAAGCCGTGTAAAAAGGCTTACTATAAAGGTAACGATTAACTAGTTGATAAAAGGGCCTGGGACTAGTGCTAGGCTACTTCTAATTATTTTGCGATATTTGTTTTAAAATAAGTGTTGTTTGATGATTTGCTATTTTAAAAGGCAGTTTTTTACGCCGGCTTTTTCTCTCGGCCTACACCCTCTGTCTTCTTTGCCGATGAGTAGGGAAGTCTACCGATTCAAATTTAATGACGTGAAATAAGTGATACCTATATTATGTTATATTCCATTATAAACATATTTTATTTTATGTAATATGTAATACGTTCGCAGCCTGAGTATCGACTTGAATAAAGCTTGTAGTTTAAAACTCGTTCCTGCCTGACAAATACATAGGATCCCAAAAGTTTCACAATGAGAACGCCCCTTTCTGTGTATAATGGAACTTGAAGGTCATGTTTACACTTGATTGACAGATAACAACGTTGCTATAGTAACTTACAGTCCCTTTTAGTAATACAAACTTTTGTCCAGCAAGGGTTCAATGTTATAAGTTCTCATATTTTATAATTAATTTTTAAGGCATGCATTTCTTGTACGGCTATAGGTAGAACCATGGAATACAAGTTATGTAGTCAGCAGCATCTAGTAATAGTAGTAATCATTTGTATGACTTGGCGAACGGCCCCTTTACAAAACTTGGCGATTAAAAAGAGTGGCCAAGAGTTTCTTGCCGGTTCTTCTTGCCCGCTCTACGCCCTTGACTTGCGAGCTGGTAATGTAAATTTAGAATTAATTTAACATTTTTCTGTTGACGTCCAAAAGTTTACTTGGTTACCTATATGAATAAAGTTATTTTGAGTTTGAGTTTAGTGTAATTTAGGATATCAATTTTATTTATACAATAATCGTTTTTAAGCACTATAGGGGGGAGGGGAGGTCTTTGATTTTCTTATCTGGTGATTGACTTTCTTATTTGGTGATTACGTCAACGGTAATTATTTACTTTTTTACACATATTACCCACACATTGTCTATGCTTGAAAACGAAATGCATTTTCGAGGATTCCTATAAAAATTAATACGTTTATGTACTATTATTTTTGAGAGCTATGCTTACTTTTGCTGACAAGAGGAGGGGGGGATAAATTGCAGTAAATCTGCTTACGTAATACATGAACGGCCCCTTTACAAATGTCGATCAGAACAGAAGATATACCATTATCCATAAAAACTGGAAAACAAAAAAAGAACATATCCCCATACAATAGCGATATTCAACAAATTGTAAACATTGCTAGCTACAATAAATCAGTATCGGCAACACACCAGTGACAGTTCAACGACAGCGTTCCCACAGAGCTCCATCGATCGAGTAAACACGCGCCGCGAACCGAAACGTAAACAAGTGCCAAATGCCGCAGTCGTTATGTAACCACGCGGTGACGCTCTTTGCACGTTAGGCGTATTCATCAATATTCTATCCAATAATAAAAACGACGCCGACATTAGCGAAATGCTATTCTATTTAAAAATACGTTGATAACGACTTGGCAATCCATTCATCGTTAACCATTCTCATTAATTATATGATCAGCAAAATCTGTTAAACTTGTAACGTATTTTATATATGTGACATGTAAAATGGATTCCTAGGCAAATATTGTCTCGAATAAGATCAAACGGTGACCCAAACAATGGCACTAACAAACGTATCCGGCATCCGATCCATTCAAGTTTTTTTCCATTCATTACGATTCCACGCACGCGGCCCGCAATTATCTGACGTGACGCGACCCCCTCGCGGCTTCTCCGCGATAACACTTTATTTCATAATATTTGTTTACAATGACTTCTATGTATTGTGGTAAAAGTCGTTCGATACTTAAGTTTCACTGACAATTCTCCACTGTATAAATTTACCTAACGAAATCGAGTTGTGCGCTTCCATAGAGCAAAAAAACAATAAATGTTCCTCGGAATATGTTTTTTGTTAGCAAGCGTAATCGTAATCCTTCTAAAATAATTACATTCACTCATTGAAAAATTTAAGGTTGGTTGGTAGACAACGTACACAACGTTGTGATATCAAATTATTTGAAAATAAGCTGTATAAAATAAAAATATTTAAACTATATTGATTGATTGAACAAAAATAAGAATATGAATAATATTTTGTAATTTGCCTAAATGTCTGTGTACACACAGTTATGTAGTATAATAATATTATATGAACAATACCATGTTAACAATACAGCTCTGATAACTAAGTTTATTAAAGAGTACAAATCATAACTGTTTGTATAATAGTGTTTACGTTACCTAGTATTGATATTACGATATAACAAATAACGAGTCGCATAATTACGCTTTCCGAGAACCTAGTGCTTCAATCTAGAACAATAACTGAGTTTGATTTAAAATAGTCCTATTATTTACAATCGCATTAGACTATTTCTGCTCTTGTAGAGACTTAGTCATCTGCCCAACTATATATACTATATGTCCTACTTTAAGTCTTTATTTACTTGTTGACCTTAGTTTAATACAGTTTTTAATTATTGTTTGTAATTATTTAAATGTTTATATTCTTTTGCGACCTAAAACGAATTATATATTTAAAACATTTTTCATAAATCACACTATCGATAGGTGAAATTTGTGTCAAAATCCATTCTGTAGTTTTTGAGCAAATACCGTTTATATACGCTAATAGATTTTTTGAGACCTCTTCAAAGGCTAATATTTCCGTCAATTAACTGAGTGAGTGCAAATTTATATTTTTTAGTCTGACGTCGTAGGCATTACAATTTGAAAAATATACCAGTTAAAAAGTTACACGAATTGACCTACAAATAACACGGCCAAGACGTAAATACATAGTTTGTAAACAATTTTATCTATATCGTAAAGTACCAACACGACAATAGTCACACACTAGCCAAGGCTATGTAACGATTAAATTGTATTTAGCGAGACAAAACTAAATAACATATAGGTATATAATAACAGCCTTTAGACGTAGAAGTATTTTAAGACTGTCAGTAGCTGTTACCTGTCGCCTAAAAGAGATTAAGGTTAAGGACTTAAGCTAGAACTTATCGGACACACAGTATTCTATAATTTCAATCTATTAGTGCACTTGTTATTTCGCAATGCTACTATTTCATTAAACATATATTGTAATACTTTTTACATTAGAAATATTCATTTCAAAAAAGCTTTATATTTTATTCTACATTCATTCACCGACATAATAATTCATGGCTGAAAACTCAAAGCCACTTAAATATAAAAGCCATATAAAATACAGAACATAACATTTACAAATGTACAACTATATCTGTGTAAGCTATTTTGAGCACCTACTACTGATGTTCGTCTAGCTAACAATGTTACAAGATTCTGAAAAATAATATAGAATGTTTTATTAATTAATAATTAATAAGTTTATTAAAAATTAATTAGTAAGTAAGCAAGCTGTATCTCTGGTAAGGTGCGTGCGGGGGAGCCCTAACAGCACGCTAGCGGTAATCGCTTAAAGACTGGAATGCCCTTACATGGCACTGGGCTGCATGTGCCCTTTTTAATTTTATGATTTAATATACTCTTAAACTAACCTACTAATATAATATTACAGGAATTCTGATATATATTTTCATTATTTTATTTTTCTTTGAAGTTGACCTCCAACCTTCACTGTACAGTGCGCAAATCAATACAGTAATCTGTATTGCGAGCTTGGCGTGAGTTCCTATCAACTTGGCAGATGTTCTAGCCGTCTCTGAAATGTATGAAGGCTTACAGGAAATCTGGCAGATCACGCCTCACGGTTCTTCTAAATTATGTACACGTAAACAGGTCTTCTCTTTAAAAGTAGATATACCTATATGTTTTTCTTTAATAACAACTACGCCGGTCGTTCGTAACGTCATGTTATATATAGACTATAGTTATCCTCAATAAATTAAATATCCACTACTTTGTTTATCTATTTAAGATAATAAATCTCAGTCTCTAAATCACAGTCTTGTCATTCACTCACTCACTTTTCATATTATGACATTTATAAAAACTCTGTTAACTTTTTTATATTTTCTAACAATAAAAATGCAATTAACTGCGTAAATACATTTATACCTTATATACATAAGAATAAGCTTTGATTTTTTTCTGTAGGTAATACCTACTTAGCAAAAACTCGACAAAAAGTTCCAAAACCACCTGTTAACAGTCACCTTTGGTTTGTTAATTATTATGTAAACGTTCCCTTCTACGAATACTTAATGAAACCCTTCAAACCGCTAAACAAACGCCCACCTAATACCAAAAGACATTTCTCGTTAGAATACATAAATTATACCATCCTATGTTCATCCCAAAGCCCCCGTTCCCGACACAATGACACGTGTTACATCAAAACATCCAATAGGTCGGGAGAGCTTCGTCAAGCTGTTTGGCAATATTTGGCCTAAACGCGTGAAGATTAGGTTGATAATTGAATGTGTGAGAGATGAGACGTTGTATCGATCGCGTTGAAGCGTCCTTCACCTCGTGCCCTTTCAGACTGTTTTGGACGGACCGCGCTTGCTCCGGACTTTTCCGGCAGGTAAAGCAAGTTTAGGCCGGCTGATGATGAACAAACAGAACCTTACTAAGTACCCTAAGTACAAAGGTGTCGTTAATCAAATCAAAATTGTGTTAGGCAAAATTCACTGTTTCTTGTTCCAAAATACGTAACATTATAATTAAATTGAATTAAAATAGACAAGAATGAATCCCATATATTTGTACTTAGTAAAGAATCTAAACTTCACTTAAGTATTCCAATTTTGTCAAAGCATGATGTACTATGAAGTATGACAATTTTTACTAGAATATATATAATACGGCTATAATTCCATTCCTAGGATATATTTCTGGCATAACTTTCCAAAAAATTACTTTTCAATTATTAAGGTACAATTCTCAATGCAATCCCATATAATCAATAGTACTACGCTAAACGTCGTCTAAGAGCGGACGATATAACAATTGGGACAGAGTATTAGCAGCCAGACGGTAGAACTGACCTAAATAAGGGGCCTTCTATATTAGTCCCTTGACAGCACACACATAGTATATGTTTTATTATAGTTCTATGATACCAACATAGTTCTCAAATACCTTTATAAATATTTTTACCAACATTTCGAAGCAACAGCGATAAGATCTTATCTAGACTATGTCAAGAAATACGCAGCGTATAGCGACAGTCTTACGTCAGCAGTTTTCCGCCCAATCTTTATAATACTTTATTTAGAAGTCAATCGATTCTGGCCTTGGGAGACGTCGCTGTCTTATATTGGCATCATCATGACCTATTATTTACGACCACTTGATAGAAGTAAAAGCCAATTTATGAGCACCAGTATATTGAGAATTAAAATAAGCAAATATTACGATCAAATTAACTTTTTGGAATTCGTCTAGCCTAGCGGTCAGAGGCATTTTATAACTTCTTTCACATTGTTTCTGATAATGGTTTTAATCATCACAAAGCCCATTGGTAGATTTATTATTTAACACTATGTTGTACTTAATAAATTCAAAGCCCTCGTTAAACGTAAATTAATCAATAAAGCTTTTTATAAATTTGACGAATATTTAAATGATACTAATCCTTGGGATTGATTTGCTCCAGTTCAAACAATTTATATGACTCAAACCATAGCGATTAAAAAGAGTGGCGGAAAGTTTCTTGCCAGTTATTCTTGCCCGCTCTACTCCCTTGACTTGCGAACTGGTAGTAAATGTAAATTTACAATTAATTTAACTTCTTTTTTGACGTTCATAAGTGTACTTGTTTGCCTATATGAATAGTTATTTTGAGTTTATTTAAAAATTACTACGCTGCCTAATCGCTTTCAAGCGATCTGTTTCAGGCAAATACCACGAGCTGTATATCTGGAAAGGCGCATGCGGGGGAGCCATAACATCACGCTGACGTTAATAGCTGAAAGGCTGGATTGCCCAAAATGGGTCATTGTAATGCCCTTTTTGATTTTATGATTAAATATACTCTAAGCTAACCTACTAATATAATATTTAGGACAATATTGTAACACAATAATAACCATATGGACTTATGATTGTCTGCTTGAATAAATCAATTACAGTGGAATCTAGATAGTTCGAATGTCAAGGGAAAGGCAAAAAAAGTCGAGTCGAGTCGAGTTAACGAGTTTTCGACTTAACAAGAACTTCGAGATACATATGATTTACCTGCTAAAATTTAGACTTACAGAGGCGCGATTTCTAAGTTTATTTTTCTATTTGTAGACTCGAATTTGAATAACAATTTAACTTAATTCTTATAGTATATATTTTTTATGAATATATTCCAAGTACAGTACAAAACAAAAACAATATATTAGAAGCCCCCAACCCGAACATTCCTTTTGGATTTTTTATAAGACGTCATTATATTTTACTAACTACGACTTACAGAGTTTCCTTTTAGAAATATGAGTTATAGAGTATATATACAAATATGTATTATCAATACTTTGTAGGGAAATAACATTTTGTTCGAGTTACAAAGTCTAAATAAGAGAAAGGGAATGGAATTTTTATTCGACTTACTGAGGATTTTGACTCAACGAGGTTCGAGTTATTGAGTTTCCACTGTATTATGATTATAAGCTGAGACTTTGTTTAGCATTCATTCTGTCGTTGAGACGGGCCATCGCATACTTAGAGGTTGTATTTGTAAAAGGTCACCACACTACAGGAATATGTTGCTTGTTAAACTCATGGCTGCAAGAGTACTGTAGAGTGTAGAGGGTGCTGGGAATAGCAATTCCACTTTCTATACCATAATAATCTACCAATAGTAAAAAGCCTGATTATTCTGCCGCCGAACAACGAACTTAGTTTATTATTATCATTTTTTTTAATATTAATTTCTTTCAAGCTCCGTATTGTAAAACAAGCAAATGCGTTTAGTTTAGACTTGTTGGAGTTCCGAGACATAAATGATTATTACTGACGACAAAAGTTTACTTTGACGCGTAACCATATAAAAAAAGTGTTCAAACCACACAAATATAAAAAAATTTTTTAATATTTACTAAATCCTTCGAAGTACAGACCACCCATTATTTACCTGAAACAAGCAACACAACATTTAATTTAAGTTACATAGGATAACTGAAAACGAAATAAAGAATGGCAGAGGGATTTTAATTAATGAAACATGAAAACGCTTTTTCCCGGAAAGCATTTTCCTGCAAAAGTAAAAATACAACTGAACAATAATTGATCCATCGCGTGACGACTGTCAACCTATATAAACAATTATATATTTAGACACAGGTCATTGCACTACATACCTGTAATTATTATTGTACATGAAAATGTCGAAGCAATTTTTACATCAAATACCTTTCATCAATAAATTATTTTGAAAACGATAAATACGTATATCCTAAACACCGGAAAACAGATAATCCTTTTTATGGAGACTATTCCGCAAGTGAGGGGAACTCTCTGTTCTCAGACAGATTTTGCAGAGGTCCTAGCACGAATTTCACACCTATATCCCGAAGGGGTATGCAGAGAACACGGATCTCCACTTCTCTCTCGCTTTATCCATTTTCATTACATTCACCATGCATGTACAACTTCTGACCTGTCCTTTTTCACTAGACCCTCGATTTGATCCATGAAAGTACAACCAGATCTACCCAACCCGATCTCACTAGCCACGGTTTCTTTTGCCACTTTTTACTTGCTTTTGTTGGACATAAAAGGATTCGACAACTGTTATTTTTTGATTTAATGATTTAAATTTAATTTTGTCTACCCCTTACTTTTTATATGAGTATTTTTTATAACTAAGTATATTGGAAAATATCTACCTATATTAACCAAATAATTTATTAGATAAACTTATCCCGTGTTGTTTACATAAATAGTATTTATTTATAACAAATAACATTGAGTTATCGGTGTGTAAGCGACGCGGCGATCATAGTAACAATTCAAATACGTCAATATATTTCGCGCGTACTGATAACGTTGATAACAGTTTTGTTCATTTTAGCACTGATATATAGCGTAGGAGTCGAAAACGAGCAATTTTTCTGACATACAAGGATATCTTTTACTGGGCTGTCTGTATTTGGAATTTTTTATAAATGCTTTAATAGCGATAAGATAGTTGCAGTGAATCTTTTTTCTGTTTAAGAACTTAAAAACTTTTTAAGGAGTTTTTTTTTTAATTACAAAAATGTATGTGACTGTGGAACACAAATTAGATACAATTTCTCCGTCCATTGAAGTGTTGACATTCATTCGACGTACTAAAATATTTTTTTTAAACTCTATTGAGGTCATATATGGATTAGATAAAAAATCAAATTAGATGTCTTATAAATAAATGTTTTTAAAGACCAGAAATAATATATGGCCCTACGTGGATGGATGGATTAAATCCATCGGAAAAAAAAACTTTAAAATGTTTCACAAAACAGATAAACTTGGTGATTTTTCTTAGCGATGACATAGCACTAAATTAAAAACCGGATTCCGCTCTTCATCTCTGTTTAGAGTTAGACGTACAACCACGAGATCCGTTAAAACCGATCACGTGTCTGTCTCGTCGCAAGTGACATCTAAACAAGGACCTTGCGAGTTATCACGGATAAAATATTATGAAATACTATTTATTACAACTAGTTATAAGATCTACGTGTAGGTATATATATACAGTGTAAACTCTATATATCGACCTTCAAGGGACTGTGTAAATTTTGACGTTACAAAGATGTCATTAAATGGAAAGAAGAAAAATCTGTATGAGAAAAAGAAAAAGTTTATTTCAGACTAGTGCTAGTAATTTCATAAAACACAATTCTTATTTGAACGCTATTGCGTATAGTATGTTATTTTC